ATGAGCGCTGTGAGCTTCATGGCCAAGACTTACCCCGGCAAGACGGACGAAGAATATCGCAGACAGCTGGGTGCGTTTGGTATCACGGGAACGACGGGTCTGCAGAAGATGGCTGTGCTCTCCGGAGGTCAGAAGTCGCGTGTCGCGTTTGCGTGCTTGGCCTTGACCAACCCGCATATCCTGGTTCTTGACGAACCGTCCAACCATCTCGATATTGAAGCGATGGATGCTCTCGCGGATGCGCTGAAGGAGTTCGAGGGCGGCGTGCTCATGGTATCTCACGACGTCACCATGCTGCAGACTGTATGCACATCGCTCTGGGTGTGTGATGGCGGAACGGTCGAGAAGTTCCCAGGAGATGTCCAGGCATACAAGAAGAGAATCGCTGCGCAGGCGGACGCTGCGGGTGTCGTCAAGGCCCACTAGTCGTACCAGTCGTCAAAATAGAGATGCTTTTACGTCGTGTTGCGATGCAAGTCTGATGCCTGTCAATATGCATTCGGATCTTGAGACCGGAGACCTGTTTTCATTGTGCTATGGCGACTTCTGCATGTAGGCTCCCGTCGCTCTTTCGCTGTCTCTACAGTCATCGTCCCTTGATACTGTCACCACTGTGTTGTTGTATACTGTCGCCATTCTACCAATGTCGTCGGTTGAGCTCAGGGGACGATGCTTCAAGTCGCGTAGACACAGGAAAGACAGCCATTCTCTAGATACGGTGCCAATTGTGATCGCCCTGGTTAATAAGGCTGGTAGGTTGAAATGGCTCTCAGGTCACACCGGAAGCTCATTTGGAGCAATGGAGTCCCCTGTAAGGCGAAGCCCCACTGGCAATTTAGCGTTTCTGAAGAGCGCTTGAGGCCAATGCCGAGCAATGCCATTCAGAGACTACTCTTTATTGGGCATTGACTTTCGGTAAGCGGCGAGAAGTTGTGGCTGCCCCCCAATCGCTCTGCTCAGGATGCTCTCCAGTCTCCAGAATGAACGTTGGTAGCCGGATGCCTCAGCAGGCCTAATTATCGATGAGATGACGTCTAAACCTACCTATCTCCGGGTCTCGGATCGCAAAGTAACGAATTTAGGTATCAGAGGTTTTTTCTTCAAAATGCAATACCTTAGGTACCTAGGTAAGTACGGATACAGCGACCAAAGGATACGTACCTGCCAATTGAGTGCTGTCTCCTTAGGTTGCTGTCACCTCAAGTGCACAACCCAAGGCCAACCAACCCCACCGTCAATTGGCTCTGGCGGGTGCCTTGCACTGAGACCATGCCAAATACGGGGATGCACGGGCCCAAGCAGTAAACAAGCGAGCTGCACCCCTTCCCCTCTGGCCTCGCTGGCGTGGTGTCGGACCCGTGGCGGTGAACAAAATCACATCCACCCGCAAACAAAAATCAACAACCTCTTCCCCTACCTATCCTCTCGACCTCATCCACCTCCACCCCAACCACGTCCGACTTGAAGCTTCGCGCGTAGCTCTCAAGCTCTTCTCATCGCCTATCCTCGGTCAAGCCCAGCTCAGTGTATTTCATCATCCAAAATGCGTGAGATTGTAAGTTGCAGTCCATCACCACAATCACAATAACGCTTGCGACGCGTTTATCCGCCTTGCCCCTGAGCGTACCCCGCCGACATTTTTACCCGACTTCTATGCTCAACAAACCCGCGACGCCTGTCAATCATCGACGTCCAACTCTGGAATGTTTTGCTGACTGCTGCTTTTTTTTGTCTACAGGTTCACCTCCAGACCGGCCAGTGCGTAAGTCTTCCCAAGCCAAATCCAACCGCCTGATTGCGGGGCTAACCTCCTTGTACAGGGTAACCAGATTGGTGCTGCCTTCTGGTACGTGACGAGACCGCCGACGATCCGGCAATATATACTTGCGAGGACGGCAGATGTTGACGATAGAGTAGGCAAAACATTTCTGGCGAGCACGGCCTCGACAGCAATGGAGTGTATGTCATGCCCCTTATCTGGCCACATTGGTGGTTGACCGCTAAACTCGAACAGCTACAACGGCACCTCTGAGCTCCAGCTCGAGCGCATGAGCGTCTACTTCAACGAAGTTTGTTACCTTATAGCCCCCAGAGTGCAAGATAAACATATTGACGAGTACTGACCTTCGCTCCCACCCAGGCTTCCGGCAACAAGTACGTGCCCCGTGCCGTCCTCGTCGATTTGGAGCCCGGTACCATGGACGCCGTCCGTGCCGGTCCTTTCGGCCAGCTCTTCCGCCCCGACAACTTCGTCTTCGGCCAGTCTGGTGCCGGCAACAACTGGGCCAAGGGTCACTACACCGAGGGTGCCGAGCTCGTCGACCAGGTTCTCGATGTTGTCCGCCGCGAGGCTGAGGGCTGCGACTGCCTCCAGGGTTTCCAGATCACCCACTCCCTCGGTGGTGGTACCGGTGCCGGTATGGGTACCCTCCTGATCTCCAAGATCCGTGAGGAGTTCCCCGACCGCATGATGGCCACCTTCTCCGTCGTTCCCTCCCCCAAGGTCTCCGACACCGTTGTCGAGCCCTACAACGCCACTCTCTCCGTCCACCAGCTGGTCGAGAATTCCGACGAGACCTTCTGCATTGACAACGAGGCTCTCTACGACATTTGCATGCGTACCCTCAAGCTGTCCAACCCCTCTTACGGCGACCTGAACCACCTGGTCTCTGCTGTTATGTCCGGTGTCACTACCTGCCTGCGTTTCCCGGGTCAGCTGAACTCTGACCTGCGCAAGCTGGCTGTCAACATGGTTCCTTTCCCCCGTCTCCACTTCTTCATGGTCGGCTTCGCTCCCCTGACCAGCCGTGGCGCCCACTCTTTCCGCGCCGTCAGTGTTCCTGAGCTTACCCAGCAGATGTTCGACCCCAAGAACATGATGGCTGCTTCTGACTTCCGCAACGGTCGCTACCTGACCTGCTCTGCCATCTTGTGAGTTGACCCGAATGATTCCTTTTCCATGATTTTGCTAACTCATTTTCTAGCCGTGGCAAGGTCGCTATGAAGGATGTCGAGGACCAGATGCGCAACGTCCAGAACAAGAACTCCTCCTACTTCGTCGAGTGGATCCCCAACAACGTCCAGACCGCCCTCTGCTCCATTCCTCCCCGCGGCCTCAAGATGTCCTCCACCTTCGTCGGTAACTCCACCGCCATCCAGGAGTTGTTCAAGCGTGTCGGTGAGCAGTTCACTGCCATGTTCCGTCGCAAGGCTTTCTTGCATTGGTACACTGGTGAGGGTATGGACGAGATGGAGTTCACTGAGGCTGAGTCCAACATGAACGATTTGGTCTCCGAGTACCAGCAATACCAGGACGCTGGTGTTGACGAGGAGGAGGAGGAGTACGAGGAGGAGGCTCCTCTTGAGGAGGATGTTTAAGCGCAGTCTAATAACTGCTTAACGCTTAGTGCCACACCCTCAACACCCACCAATGTACTCCATCCGTGGTGGAATTTCGCTTCGCGACTCTGGCTTTGCCAGAACATGGGCTTCTAGATATACCTCTCTTAGTAGTACGCCTGACGTATCATTCGAGTACGAAGAATCAGACAATGTTCTGTAACTACTGGCCAATATCAATGCCTGTGAATTCCCCCTAATGCCCATGTAAGAAGCAGGGTAAGAACGCGAGTTCTCTCTGTGAAAATCACTTGTTGGCAACCTTTCTGGCGTAAACACCGAAGCTGCAAAGCGAAGCTGAGCTGGTACAGGCCAATTGCAGTAGTTTCTGAAGTGGGTCCTTTGTTGATGACTAAGGCGTGGGAAAAGTTCCTGAAGATCCTCACGACCGTCGATCGAGCAACACATGCACGCGCGAACTGGGAGGTAACTCGCCATTCGACGACTACAATGCTTGCTCCTAGCAGAGGAACGGCGTTGAGGCAGGCCCTGGCCTCCTCGCCGTCCACGACGGTTCCGGCATTCCTTGTGCCGGCTCTGCAGTCCATGCCCCGACGCCAATTCTCCGCAACACCGATTCGACCCTCGAAACTTGGCCGGACGCCTCTGTCAATCCCTCCTGGCGTGGAGGTACTGGTTGGCGAACCTCTATTGAAAAAGGACCCGACGAGCTACTTGAAGGTGTACAAGAGGACGGTTGCTGTCACAGGACCTCTGGGTTCGTACTAGGCACCCGGATAATGGGCCGAGCGAAGCCCTTGCTGATCGTGTTCGGTATAGGCAAACTGGAACTCGAGATCGAGCCTTTCGTGAAAATTGAGCAGGATGCCGAGTCTAGCAGAGCGATCCTCTCTGTCGAGGACTCCAACATCAAGGAGCAGCGCGAGATGTGGGGTGAGTGGTCTAGTTTTCTATCTTTCCCCCTCCACCTTCCTGGGATGCTTGCTTCCCCTCCTGCGTGCAGGTATCTTGACAAGCCGAAGAGCGACGGACTGATTCTTTGTTTACCACCACAGGCACGACATGGGCGTATCTTCAGCGCTACATCATGGGTGTCTCCGAAGGCCACACGGCACTCCTACGTTTAGTCGGTATCGGTTACCGTGCGTCTGTCGAGAAGCGCAGCGGCAAGGAGGAATACAAGGACCAGGACTTTCTGTGCTTGAAGCTCGGCTTCACGCACCCCGTCGAGATGGGTATTCCAAAGGGCGTCAAAGTCACCCTCGCCTCGCCGACACGCATCTTGCTGGAGGGCATCGACCGAGAAGAAATCATGAGCTTTGCTGGAAGGGTTAGAAAGTGGAGGCCGCCCGAGCCGTACAAGGGCAAGGGTGTATTCATCAACGACCAGACGATTAAGTTGAAGCAGAAGAAGATCAAATAGGCGGCGATGCTGGTGGCAGGGCGGCTGTTCTTGTGTGTGGGATCACGACTTGCATTACTGCAACAGCAGCTGCGGCGTGTCAAACGACGGGGGAGGCAGGCCAGAGGGCTGTGTATACCTGTACATCACCGTATGGACTAGGAAAGACCCATTATTGTACACTATTTATTTTGCTGGGTCTTGGAGAGACACAATTTAAAAAAATATCTATCCCCGTCTAGCTTGACTTTTGGCTCAATACCTCTTGGACAACCTTCAAAACGGTCTCGTGTACAGCGGCTGGCGCGGCGATCACACCCTTGTTATTTGCCAGCGTCCGGCCGACAGAGAAGTCCAATCTCTTGCCCTGGATATCCGTGACCTGACCACCGGCCTCGCGCACGATGAGATCGCCAGCCGCGTGGTCCCAGATCTTCTCCTGGTATGTCGCCTTGACAGGCAGACGCAGGTAAATATCGCCAGCGCCGCGGGCAATGGAACCATACTTGCTCTGGCTGTCCATGCGGACGCTGGGCTTGGTGATGCCCAACTTGGCGGCGATCTGAGCCTGGTCGTCGTGAGCACTGTGGCCGGCCTCAACGCTCTCACAGAAGGTTGCGGCCGACATCTCGGTAATGGGCTTCATAGAAATGGATGCGCCGCCGGCAATGGCACCGCTCTGGAGGGGACGCGAGGTGGCGCCCTGGCCTTGAACGGCGGAGAAGATGACGCCGTAACCGGTGTTGTCGGTGGCATTGGAGCCAATGTCGGCAGTCAAAGGAGCCTTGTCGTCAACGGGCAGGTTGGGGCAGCCCAGAACACCGACCTTGACGTCGCCATCGACCATCAGAGCCAGGCACACGGCGTACTGGCCACCGCGCAGGAAACCCTTGGTGCCGTCGATGGGGTCAATGGCCCAGATACGTCCGCTGCTGCCGCCCTTGCTGTTGCCACGGTCGATGAGGTCGAGCATGCTTTCGGCGGTCTCGATGGGCCCGCCCAGGAGGGTCTCGGCCTGAGCATCTTCGAGCTTGGTGGTGCGCACGAGGTCCCAGATCTGGTCGCGAAGGCCAGCGTCAGAACGCAGCTGAGCCGCCTCCTCCTCAGCGACAATCTCGTCCTGGGGGAAGTGGTGGCGGAGGGCGGCGATGATGAGGGCCTGGGCGCCGAAGTCGCCAATGGTCACGGGGGACTTGTCGTTCTTGTCGACGGTGCCCTTGGCCTTCTCGTGGAAGACGCGCTTGGTGAGGATGGAGGCGCGCTGGACAGCCAGCTGGGCGACCTCGAGCTCCTTTGCGTACGAGGACATGGTGGGCGAGGGGTTCTTGGCGTTGGTCGAGAAGAAGATGGCTCGTGGGGCAAAGTTTGCGGGGAGGGCGAGGTGGTTCGAGAGGAGGGAGAGCCGGGGGAAGGCTCGCAAAGACAGGATGGCCAGCGTCACGACGATGAAGGAGGAGAAGAGGAGAAAGTGAACGGATGCGTAGCTGGGTTTCTGTTTGATCTTTTGTGGCTCGGGCTTGAGGGGCATGGAATTCTAAGAGGAGACAGACACAAGCTGGCAAACGCGGGATGTGTATGTAGGAGGAAACCGCTTTTCGTCTGTAGGTACACCTTAGGGACCAAGCTGATACGTCATGTGCATCGCTCGCGGTGGGCTTCTGGGATGCAATTGTGGGTGCACGGCGAGGAATGCGTCCTGAGAAGCCCAGCTTGTACGTCTACTACCTTAGTGTACCTATCATAAGAGGACGATGCGTCGAATTTTCTCTCCGGTCCTCCACTTGGTGGATGCACAAGGAGAACAAACGACCTGACTCGGAAAGGGGGGACGGTTGACACGCTTGCACGAGGAAGAAGACAGGCTGCGTTACTTGGAGATGCGTTGGAGCTCTGCTGTGACTGAGAGAGGGGCAGAGCTCAAGAATTCAGAAAACCCCTCCATCCCACGCACCGCAGGCTAGGTATTGAGCTCTGCAGAGGTGCCGGTGCCGGCGCGGGGTCGGCTCCCCTCCTTCCTGGGTTGTCTTTTTTTTTTTTTTTTTTTTTTTTTTGCTTCCCCGAGTAGCACGTAGGTACGGTAGGTACCTACCTACCTTAGATATACCTAAGGTACGTCGGGGGCGCCCGTGCCTTCAGCCAGTGAAGCAGCACTCCAGGCACAGGGATCCAACCCGTTAAGGCAATCCACAAGCGCAAGGTCAATTGAAGGTAAGCTCCAGCCTACAACTTTTTGAACCCATCGCCAACTTAGAAGCAACCAAAAAATCCTATTCCATCCACCGCACCGCTACTTGTGTCGACCACCCCGACACCACCCCCGCCCACCTCACCCGTCTTCTTTCCTCTAGGATAACCAAATACGATGGCTGCTGCACCACGCCTCCGCTCAATCTACCGATCTCTTCTGCGCGAGCTCCCGCCGCGCCCCGTTCTGGCCCGCGAGCGCTCGCCTCTCCATCACCGCCTGCGCGCCAGCTTCGCCGACTCCACGACCAGCCACCGAGCTGAAGCCGACGCCGCCGAGGCCGAACAGTTTGCCGCCTACCTCCGCGCTCAGCGCACCTACGTTACCTTGTTGGAGCGCTACAACCCGGGCATGAACATGGACGAGGAGGAGCGCGTGCGCCTCACAGCTCGGAGGGTCGGCATGGATTTGCCAAAGGAGTTCAAGAACCGCCTGAAATAAGCCGCTGGCCTGGTGACGACGGATCTGAAAAATGCTCTCGGAAAGAGAGACCCCGTCTCCTCAGGACATGTCACACGGGGTGGCAGGAGAAACGTTCAAGAACGAATAACGTTCCTAATTGGCATTTTGGCCACCATGGAATAGCCACGGAGGTTTCGCCTCAACGGACAGGCATGCCAGACGTACACACAATTCTACGACAACCAAGCGTCTTGAAAGGGTCATTTGAGGCTGATATAGACATGTACAATACAAATGGCGGGCGTTCAGGTGAAAACATGAGGTAGCGCTTCTCGTTTCGGGAGCAGACGATGGCAGCATATGATTTGACAGGACATATAAGGGGGCGATACGCCGCAACCGCAACCACAACCAATTCTCGACCCTCATCTCGTGCTTTCTGGTTTTCGTGTCTTCATGCCGCTTCTAACCCTTCATAAGATCCAACCCAAGAAGCTCAAATATGTACAAGAATCTAACAAAAGTGTCGTAATACGCAGCAAAGGGGTATCAACGTCTGTGATAGAAATGATCATGACCCGTCTTCATCAAGTCTCGCGACTGCCGTCTGTGGTTACACACTACCCACGCCTCCTTCTTCTAATGTCTCATCCCACCCTCCGGTCTGCAGGAGATGTTCTCCCAACATCTGTTTGACGTTCTTGATGTTCTCGCCGAGGGCGCTGTTCCACTGGTCCTGAACAACGCGCACCTTCTCCTTCAAATCATCTGTCAACATCTGGCCTTCCTCCTGGCGCAGGTGCTGCGCTCGTGCTTCGCGCTCCTCGGCGCTGTACTCCCGTCCGTCTGCGTCCTCACCCTCGCTCTGCACGGCCTTGGCTTTGGCATGCGTAACGGCCTCCTTGACCTCGTGCAGGAGACAAAGGAGGTTTGTCTGTGATTCAATGAATTGGTATGTACTCTTCTCCGTATGCAGTAGCAGGCTGAAAAGATATTGTAGTGGGTGTGCACGGTACGAGGGGTTCTCCTCGTACTCGGACGTCGGTATTTGGATGTTGAAATCATCCAGGTTAGGCGGTATCTTTTCCAGCAGTCTGCGCAGAGGAGGCGCAATGTCCCAGAATGCCGAGAGCTGCACCTCGACACCACGCATGACATTTTGTTCGACAACAGCCTGAAACTCCTGGGTACGGGCCAGGACCTCGTGAGCGAACGCCAGCTCGCGCTTGGCAGCGTCTTCAGTAAAGAAAGCGACAGCGTTCTGTAGTTTCTCCTGGTTGCCGGCGAGCCGATATGGCGTCAGCACGACCTCTCGGTAGCGATCGTTGCGTTCGGTGAGCACATCGTAAATGGCTCGGTGTAGCATCTCTCTGGCCTCGAAGATCCATTTGAGAAGCGTCAGCTTCTCGAGAAGCTCAGGCTTATCGTCGCCTTCTTCTTGTGGCATATCAGCAGTGCTGGAGACATTGTCGAACAAGCCACTGGCCAGCTTGTCGAACAAGGTCGTGGCTTTTGCGATGCGGCCAGTGACGAGCTCGTTCAGGGGCATCACAACCTGGGCTTGGAACTGCTCAAACTCTGTCCTTCCAAGCTCTTTGAGCTTGTCCTTCTCCGCCGCCGCGGAATCTTGCTCAATGGCCGATGCCTCTGCAAATGTCATGTTGCCGACGTTGACTTCCTGCTGAAGATTGACTCTGAGGGCTTGTCGGCGCTCGGCTGCAGCTTTGGATGCCTCCTCTCTCTTCTTGTTGCTGGTCACCTGGAACCTTTCCCTTGTAACTCCGACCTCTGAGAGGTCGCTCAGTTGGCGAACGGCAGTTCTTGTCTCTGTCAGTTCAGGATGGCTGTTGTTCACGGCCGGGTGGTGGCGAGGATAGGGCGGCGGAAGGGTGACCAGGCGAGACACATCCAAATGGGCTGGGTTTGGAGTTGTGGGTGAGCCGGATGAAGCGAGAGATTGTGCAGAGTATCGCAGCTGCTGCGGCGTCGATGCCGAGTCGGGCTCATGCCATCCCATTTTCTCCGGGGGATACTCGCTGGAACTTCGCCCGTCGCTAGGGTTTGCCTGCGTCTGAGGACTGTCCATCCACTGCAGAGCCTCTCGAGCTTCTTTCGGCACGCCCATATACTTGGATTCACGCTTGGATCTTTCGACTAGCTTGCCCCCCGTCCCAGTTGAATCGGCTTCCCACCATCTGCTGGATGGACGACCTCTAGAATCGGCCTCGTCCAGCTTGTCACTAACGCTCATGCTCAAGATTGGGGAGAGCGATGGCATGTAATTCGAGTTCCAGTTTGCGTTGTTTGGCGGTCCGCCAACAGGTGAAATGGGGACATTTGCTGCAGCAGAAGCCGGGGCAGAACTAGACTCCCCTGGAGTCTCGCGATAAATTGAATTCAGCGAGCCGCGGTGAGATCGAGTAGGCTCAGATGATTGCGGCGTCCATTCAGCCTGAGAGGCTCCGGATTCCCGTCTTGTGACCATCGGGCGAAAAAGATCCCTCGTAAGATCGAAGATCTCCGAACCCATAGCCCCAATGGCTGCTGAGTATCTCTCGCGTCTGATGCGTGATTCGCTCGTGATAAAGTCGGCAAACAATCGTACACGGTCGGCATCGCTTGCTGCCGTCGATTCCTTGACAGCGAACGCCTGGAACCGCTCAATCGTTTCATGACAGAATTGATCAGCTGTCTGAGTTATCGCGGAGTGTTTCGTGCTTGAGATGGAAGCTGATGAGGGCCCATCCGCAGCAGGCGTCATAGACCTGAACCTGGTTTGCGAACTGGATGCAGATCGAGTCTGGGGTGGTGGCGTAGGTAGGGCTTTCGGCACCACGCTGGGCGACCCCCCAACCATCGAAGTGCTCTTGGCAGGATGAGGCGAGAATGGCGGAGTCGCAGCTTCGAGACGAGGACGCTGAGCGGAGCCACCCGCTCGAGGTGTCGTTGATTGCTCGTCAGTCCGAGGAGTGTCGTCCGCCGTCCGGCCTCCGCTTCTCGGTGTTGACTTGTTGATGGTCAGTCTACGAGTGAGAGTGGTGTCGTTCGGGACGACAATCTCGCTCAACTGCACTGGGTTGATAGTGCCGTCTATGGAATTATGATGCGGGCTATATCTGTTGCGACTTTCCGCACGGCGCTGGACGATGGTCTTATCGTGACGGACTGCCCTTGCGCGGCTTAGACTTCCAGAGCTGAGTGCAGCTGAGTTGCTGGACTCGCCTGTCTGAACAGAGCTTGCAGCACTGGAGGTGTCAATCGTCAAGCCGGGCGAGCCTCTATTCTGAGGAGGGCGAGCGGGCGTGTCTGGTTGATCGGCCCAGTTGGCTGGCGTTGGAGGTACTGGGCCAAGAGCTGTGACGCCACTTGGGGGTGGTCGTCTCGTTGGTGGTGATGCCATCGGTGTACTTGTTCTATGCATACTCTGAAGACTCTGCGATCTGGACGAGGCCGGAGGCGGGCCAGGGGGCGGTGGCGGAAGTGGCATGCCGGGCTCCCACCTGGTCTGAGATGTCGAGCGTGAGCGGGCAGACGTCGGCGTCTCAACAGCACTGGCAGACGCAGCCCTTCGGGCTCCAGGAGGCCCCGCGGATGAGCCTGAATCGTTACGCTGTGGCACTGGCTGCGGGATCTGGATTTGAAGAGGGGTTGGCCTTGCTAATGACGGAACAGGCGGTACTGGCTCGGGCGGACTTGATTCGTGATGCTCCCTGCTTCTCCTCAGAGAGTGGAGACCGAAACGTCGTTCACGGGAGCTCGTTCGAGTGCCAGGAGGTGGAGGAAATGATGTGTTGGTGGCCGGCTCGGGAGAGGGTCTGTGAAGACTAGTCGGAGGGATACGGGCTGCTGATATGTTGGCTGCCGGTGACGAATCGAAGACGCCGCTCTGGGGTCGTTGACTCCGCGGTGGACTATATGGAGGCGGGGGAAGCGGTGATCCTGCAGAACTGTTTTAGCAAGATGAACCTGGGTCAGAGTTGAAGGCTATATTCACTTTGTTCAGGATATTGACGTGGCTGCTCAGCACCAGCGGCTGGCGAAGCAATCCATTCTTGCGGGTTGTAAGGTTGGATTGAGCTGGCGGGCGTGTGGGCTGAATTGAGTTGTGTTGAAGAGACTCCAGACAGTGGGGTGCTGATCTGGCTGTGATAGGAACCCAAAGACTGCGTCAACAATGGATTAAGCCCCTGTCGCATCCGCGCAGGATCGCGAGGGTTACTCATTGTCAGCTAGGATGGGGATTTTGGGCAACTCGAGCGGCGTCGGTGACTTGGAAGAAGTCGGATTCCGAAGCCACGCCGGAATGATGCAAGGAGGATGAGGGTAGCTGAGTTGCTCACTTGCATGAGAAGGAAGGTCTCAAGCTAGCCAGCAACCTCGCAACCTCGTTCGTCTCTTCTTCTCGCGCTCTTTACCGGTCCATTCAACTCGATTCGTCGCAGGACAATCTCATGTCGAGAAACACTAGTACCACACAGTTGAAAGGGAGGACGGACAGCCGACAGGTGAATTGTGTCACACCTTCGGGTGGGAGGGCGCGGCTGAAGCAGAGGGAACGAAGTTTGGTGGGAGGATGGCAGTAGATAAAAGCGACGCCCAACGCTAGGCCGGGTCTGCTGCAGTGTGGTCAACCTCCTGCATACCTATGGAGAGGTACACACGTACATGCCACATGCGTGCAGGAGGGTACCGGGGGTGGTGGCTCACACTTTGATCGCCCACCGCAAGAAGGACCCCTGTGACACCCGGTTCTTGGGCGGTGGGTTAAAGACACTGGGAGAGCGGAGAGGAGCCCCTCTGCGTCTGTAGGAAACGAGAGCGGGTTGTAATTCGTAGGTATTTGCACGAGGGAGGACAGGAATAGCAGCCGGGACCCGGGGCAAAAGCGCGATGGTGGATCTGATAGTGTAGGCTACATGTACCTTACCGTAAGGCAAGGTATTAGTAGTTGACACTCGACGTCTTAGCAAACAGCTTGCTCGCTCTCGGCTTTGCTATCGTAGCCATGTACCTGGTGGGAACGAGGGTGGTGGCCAGCTAGTGATTGTCGAGGGTCTGCCCAATCTCTGCTTTCGCGTCGGCGGCGAGGAGGCTTGATTGCTCAACTGTAGCATTGGAAGAAGAGAGGGCGCATGGAACGGGAAGGCATAGGAGACATCCAGTGTGGCACCAGGTGGGTGCTACTGCACGACAGGCATGCATGTGCCGGTACGAAACTGCGTCTGCCATCTGGAAGGGCTGTCTGCAACTTGCAGCTGTTCCCTCAGTTCCTCTCCCGCAATGTCTGACTTTCTTTTTCATTCACATTACGAGGCTAGATTGGCGTGTTACTGATACGACATCTCGTCGGCCGGAGCGGCACACCGCAAGTAGCAAGACCTGGAGGGGGGGAACATCATGATGCCCGAGATGGTAGCATCGCGCTGGCACGGATGGCGGATCTCAAAGACCTCAGTCCATCTGGATAACCAACAGAACGACGGCAGGGTGGGAGATAGCATTGACAAACCCCTCTAGCGACCTGCCACCGCGCAAGAAGAGGAAACGCAAGTGAGCATCGAGCCAGGACCCCGGTCCAAAATGGCCTGTCTTTTTGATGGAGCCAAGAGAAGAGACTCGTGGGGATGTTGCTGGAGTACGACCTTGATTGGCTGGCTCACTGGTGGGAGGAGACTCTATTCTTGGATCCCACCAAAGACCCCGGCAAGTTGCAAAGAGCATGCTGGGGTTGTGATTGGACGTTGTGTTTGTGAACAGAGGTTGCCGGCGCTTAGCTGCCCTTCAACCTACCAAAGACGCTTCGCTGAAGTCTCTGTCTCGCGGCCGTGTTTCTCTTCCTCGTGCATCCGTTGATTCGGCCCCTGGGCTGCCTGGCTCGAGAAAAGGCATGCACTAGCGTCTCGCAGGCTTCGCTCCTATCGTAGTCCATCGCCAGGCCTCGGGGGCCGTCTTCACCGACTCGACAGCCCTGTTGGTTCTCCTTTAAATGTTGAGGGGCTGGGAGGACGGCTCGCCTACGCAAGCAACAATATCAGTATGAGGTACTTTTAAGGTGTTGTTGTTTGGTTGGATAGAGCTTTCAAGGTAGGGCACACCTACAAAACGTGGTCGTGCGGGGAGAGACCCCAATGAGCAGGCGGAGAAATGTTTCTAATTATTGCAACAATTACCAAGTGGGAGCTGCAATTCTAGATTCCAGTCGGCCTGTACACATCCACAGCGGAATCTGCTGGGCTTGACCTCGGTCGCCGAAGAAGAAATCTTCATCTGGACGTGCTGCTCGACAAGATGCATGGTTCCATTTGTTTCATACATACTCGCTCGTAAACATCGGTCATCAGCACCTTATTTTCGGCTCGGTGGCGTCGTTCGCGGCCTCGGTAGCGATGCAGCTCGTCTTTCCGGCAGGTTTCATGGATCCACATTCACGCAGCGTTGCTCCCGGACTTCTCTCTCATCACTGTGACATTGTGTGGGTGCAGTTGCCTGTGCCATACCACGCCTTCCGGGCACTTCAATGGCATTGAGCAAACAATGCTGTGTAGTAAGCATTTGTCGAAATATGACCGGGGTGCTAGCCAGCCGACCGGGAGAGTACAGCTCCGGCTTCCAGAAGACAGCTTAATTAGAAGTTATCCATATTAATTGCAATGCAGCTTGGCTTGCAAGTCAGCCGTCTCACCTAAAGTTGAGGTCGACGTACAGATGTATCTAGACAGGTTTCCATGATGTACGTACGTAGGATTCTCAACTCGGTACTTGGGCTTCCCGAAATGCAAGATAGCCGGATCCACGTGGGTATGGCTGCATTCTCTTTGGCTTCATGCTCTGCGATGTTCCTCAAATAGTATCCAGAGAAGACATTCAAGCTACCCATTGTCTTCTTGTAACTGCCCGAGCAGGGTCGTGGGAGTAAGCATTGGCAGGCCAAATAGAACAGAGGATGGCCTCTAACCTCGCCAACTGAAGTACGGCTCCAGAGATAGAGACTTTACTTAGGTTCATGTCTTTGGTTGAGGTGATGAGTGAGACCCCTAATTTTCTTGTGCCAGAGTAACAACTACTTTTCCTACGTGCTTGCCATCCTTGTTGTCGTTGTCGTTGTCGGCGTGGTTTCCGTCTCTAATTACTGTCATTTACCTTCATCCTCGATCGAAGTAGGCTTTAAAATCTGCTAGGTGCAAAAAAAATGTTGCCGCGCATAGTAGGCGTTCTCTAGTGAGTCTTGTCGACGGATGCGAAGGACAGTTGTGAACATGGCGATGTTAGTGTTTGAAACCAAGGAAGAAGGCAGACGTGATTAAGGTGCCTACCAAGCACGGGCCAGGGAATGAGCTACCTGACCTATACCTACCTTACCTTAAGACGGGATGAGGTCCGGTGGGTCTCCCGCAAGGCGGCCAAACCAAACGGCCGACAATTTACCGCCTGCCCTGCCTGGTGTTGCTGCCGGCGGATAGCGGAGGGTCGTCAAAATTCTAGAGCTTTCTTTCAAAGCCTTCCGTCGCTCAGATTTATTTCCTTCTTCCCTCTCTTTCCATTCCACAACGTTCCTTTGACATGACAACCCAACGCGCCCATCCACACTGAGGTAAGGCTCCCCCTCCCATTTATCTACCCCGCGCTGTTTTCAATCCCGCCATCTCTCTCTCCTACATGATGATACGACAGCTGGCACCAGTCATAGAGTGATTTTGTACTCCCATCTTTGATGACAAACGCTGCGGTCTATGACCAAACCCTGACACACGGAGAACTTTGTTGATTTTACTCAACGATACTTTCGCACATCGCACTTCGCAAACCCAAGCAGATTTCCAGTCGCTAACCAGCAATTGGACATCTAGTCACACGTTTTCCTCCTCACAGCCTTAGATCAGAACCAAGTCACCGCCGACAAGATGGTCCTCCACAACCCCAACAACTGGCACTGGGTCAATAAGGATGCTTCCGGCTGGGCGAAGCAATACCTCGAGGAAAGCTTGACGCAGGTCGAGTCCACAGAGGGCGGTGTCACGGCAAAGATTAGCAAGGTTGTGAGCATGGATGGCGACGTCGACGTCAGCCAGAGGAAGGGCAAGGTCATCACCATTTACGATGTTAAGCTCGTACTAGAATACTCCGGTAGGTCTCTACTGCAATGCAAGCACTCTGTTTCTCCTGTAAAAATGTCCACCAACGGTCCAACGGTGTCCACCATTGCTTCTTCCGTGAATCGTGCTTGATTGAGCCTGGCTAACAATAAGCAGGCACCACCTCTGACGAGGCTGAGGTTTCGGGTACCATCACCGTTCCTGAGGTCGCCCACGATACCGAGGAGGAAGAGTTTGTGGTGGGTCTATTATGAAATCTCTGACAACCAAAGACTCCATAGCTAAGCGATCCCTGCAGTTCGATATCGACATCTACTCAGAGTCCAAGGAGAAGCAACCCGTTAAGGACCTGGTCCGCTCCAAGCTTGTGCCTCAGCTGCGTAAGGAGTTCCTGAAGCTCCCCGGCGCTCTGATTGCGGAGCACGGCAAGGACATCCAGCACGCTCCGGGCTCAAACCCTTCGAGCGGCTTCTCCACACCCAAGTACCATCCTCATGGCTCAGCCGCGAAGTCTGCTGCCGAGACTACGAGCGTCAAGAGCAGCAGCGGCAAGGTTGTCAACACTGTCACCTTGACTGATACGGCTGAGTTCCGTACCACCGCGGAGGAGGCGTACCAGACTTTTGTGGATCCTGCTCGCATTGCTGCCTTCACCCGGGCGCCTCCCAAGGTTTTCCAGGGAGCCATTAAGGGAGCCAAGTTCGAGCTGTTCGACGGAAACGTCGTTGGCGAATACTTGGAGCTCGATGCCCCTAAAAAGATTGTCCAGAGCTGGCGCCTGAAGCAGTGGCCGGAGGGTCACTTTTCCAAGTTGAACATCGAATTCGACCAGAATGATGTCGACCACGTGACGCTGATGCGCGTCAACTGGGACGGCGTTCCTGTTGGCGAGGAGGACGCCACGAGACGCAACTGGCAGGAGTACTACGTCAACAGCATCAAGCGCACTTTCGGGTAAGACGATAGATCCCGACCCATATGCGACTACAATCTAACATGATTAGTTTCGGTACTATTCTCTGAATGTACTTATCGAGCGAGGGAAAGAGCGAGAGACTTGGTGGTTGGTTAGGACACATTAGTTGGCAAGCAGAGCGTGAAGCTCTCGTCAACTGGCTGGCAAGCTTAGCCAGGGACGGCGCGGGGAGGCCAGCAGCCATCACGAAATCGAAAGACGTCTCAATGTCTACAGCAGATGAGCAGTCGAGGGTCGTCGGAAGCAGCCTGTGCATGAATTAGATGAGAAACGTTGAAATGAGACAAGATAGAGTACCAACGCTTGCTGCAACGCCAACTTTATCCGGTCACGGTGCGAGGTAAAAGTCAAACGTGTATTGATTAAACATTGTGATGCCCTGCATGATACGGTGATAGATAGTACACATCCGTTCGATATCTCCCGCCATGGTTTCTCCGAAAGTTTCTTTTGTGAACGACTATATAGGCGCTCCTCTTGCTGAATGCCTCTGTCGCCCGACAGCCTCAACAGTCGGCTGGTCACGCTTAACATTAAAATTGTAGTCGGGGACGAAGACGTCTGCCACGTTATCCCAGAATCCTAGGTCGTACAGGTTCTCGACGTCTGCCAACTTCCACACTCGCTCCCATTCTGATTGCGTGGACACGTTCGACAGAGGGGGCATGCCGTCATCCGTTCTTGCAAGCACTTGCTGTGATTCGAGGGGCCATCGCGTTCGCTCCGGCTCGTATCGTCTATCCTTTACTCGGTTAGGCAGCAGTTTCCGTTTGAAGGCACAGCCATCATCCATCTCAGCCTTCCAATCGGACCACTTGAGTGATTCGTTGGTAGTGGTGCCACTATAGATGAGCCAAACGTTGTACGCGAACAATCCCCAGACCAATGGCGAGATCATCGCAGCGAGCAAGGTAACTGCGCCCATCCCAACACTGTCCTGGAGTGCCCAAGTCCAGATGAGGAGATAGTCCTTGATCTCCATCCCTTTTGGCGGCCACAGGGCCCATGTCGGGTACTCGGTTGCAATATGCTTGGACAGGAGGGAGAAGCCCAGGAAACCACCGTAGGACGTGAGGAGGGCCGTCGTGGCAAGGAGCAGAAGGAAGTAGTGGTGGTTCTTGTAGCCGACGCAGCCGTTGATGAAGATGCAGTGGTGGTCTAGCTTCGCGATACAACGTTTGCAAATGCTGCAGTGTTTAGAGCGAGGAGGTTTGAGAAAACCGCAGGTCTTGCACTCGTGGCCGGGAAAGAAAATTGACCAGTCGTAGGGATAGAGCGACATGTAGTAGGCATGATTCTCGTGCGTGATATAGCCTGGGTCAGTCATGACCGAAAGATAAAGGAAAAGGTAAGGCAGAAAGATGGCGATGGACCCGGCAACTTTGTGAAAGGTCGAAATTTGGGGCCACGCAGTCGGAAGAAATAGGTACTCCGAGACAGAAAGCAAGACCAAGAAGAAAATCTAATATTGTCAGCATAGAACAACGTCGAACAAGCTCAGTTTGGGACGTGGGCTTGGTGTTTCGACTTACGACCACAGTTGGGTGACGGTCATTCATCATAAAGTTGCCGAACCGCAACATTGAGCTTGAGAACCTCCCTCCCGTCAGGAGCCTGTCGATGGCCAAGAAACCATTTGGGATATGGATCCGCATGATCCTATGTAATGTTGCAATGGGCGTATGCCTGCGAATTGTTAGCCAGAGCGTCTAGAATCGCCGTGTTTGGTAACCCGCTGCTTCCAGGTCGCTAACAGAGGAGCTCAATGATGACTGACCTCAAGGCCGGCAACCTGCCAAAGAACGCCACAAAGACCACGAAGGAGATGGCCAGCACAAATAGCACTGCGTTCCGAAGAAGTCCCATGATGATACCCAAACTTGTCGTCACCTCCAATAAAGCATTATATGAGTGGTGAGACACGAGAAGACCACGGCACCGGGTCCTGGAGACTTTTACCCAAGATTCTCACCCAGAAGTGAGTGTAGGTAGAAAAGGAAGCCTAGTCAATGCAATAATAACAGTTAAATCAGCCTCTCTAGCGGTGGAGACAGGCCCTTCTAGGCCCACAGCCTCCAGAACACTTGCAAATCGCTTCGGATAGCGAACCGTAGGATGTGTAAGGTACACGTTTATGCCGGTCAACACTCTTTCTCGTCAATTCGAATGCGTGGCCCGAGAACAAAGCAGACAAAGCGTCAGCAGGGTTAGTGTTGAGATCATTCTTGCCGTCTGATGTTAAGTACCGGGATATTGTTATAGCCATTATTCCATGGTCATAGCGTTTTCACCCTTTAGCTACATGTATTTTTTTATGCATAATGCGACCAGATTCAAGCAGCTGCAGGTATCCGTACGCGACGAGCCTTCTAAGAAGCTACGCGTCGGTTCGACACAGATGAGAGCACAAACAGTGCACGGCACAGCAGCGCTCGAATCCAGGCCACGTATAACCAGACTTATCCAACTCTGAGACGCCAGTTCTCGACGCGAAAAGCTTCTTCTGGAGGCTTAGTCGAGTTGTTTGTGGCAGGATACCAGCTCGGCAGGCGGCGACGTATGGGCGAGTTTCCAACACCCACAGCTGACCGTTACACCAAAGCATAACCACCAGAATCCGCGCAATCAAGCATCGGTCCGACACTGAAAACAAAACGCTGTGAACCTTTCCCTTCTCTCAGTTTTACTCATATTTTTCGGCTTGAACAAAGTGAAACCAAGCTCATTCGGCAAATCAATCAAGATCCGAGATAGTAAGCAGTCATAACGTACCCCCGTCACTGTACTCGAAAGTCAAGCATGTCGACGGCGATCGTTTACGAGGGCGTGCCAGGTGCTCAAGGCACTCTGTTCCAAGGGAAGAAGTTCTTCGTCACGCAGCGTGTGCCCGACAGAACAACGATCTTGGACCTAATCAAAGTAAGCTTGCTACTTCGTTTGACGAATCTCAGAAGCTCATATACCTAGCAAAATGGGGGGAAAATCGTCAAACTGGACAAGCATGCCGACTTGGTGATCGCAGACCACGTCAGAAGAGACTGTCCTCCAGACTCGCTATCGTGGAATTTCATCAAGGATTCTGTCCAGTACGGCGCTATGCAGGAAGAAGACAAGTACCAGATCAACCAATCGCCTATGGCTGCTCGTCCTGTTGGGTCAACGAAGCCTGCCAAAGGTACTCGGACCCCCTTCACAAATGCCGACGACGCAGAGCTTACCAGGTGGGTGCTCTCACATACCAAGACGAGCGGAAATGACATATATCAAAAATTCGAGCAAATTGTAGGTTCGCCTGTTACCTGATTTAAGCTCTTGACTGATCCAAGATTTTTCAGAACAATCGTCACACGTGGCATTCTTGGAGAGATCGATGGGTGAAAAAGCTGAAGCTATTACCTTATGATGCCCAGCGCAAGTTGGCTGATTCTGCTCCACCCGAGTCACAATCCCCGACAGTGTCTCTGCTCGATGCGCCTCGAACCGGGCGGAGAGCTCAGCCCGCGTCAGACGCTGCCACTGCATCAGCTTCTCGGCATGACGGCCCTCAAACTACACGGTCACTCAGACCTGCTGCGAGACAAGCAGGCGCACATCCGCAGGTGACTGAGGCAACTAGGAATAGGTTCACCAAGGAAGACGATGAACTATTGTTGCGCAGCGTTTCAGAGCTCGAACAGCGGGGCGGCAGGATCTCCAGTGGTATTTTCCAAGATCTGGCCAAGAAGGTATTACTGCGACCTCTTTCATGGAAGAATAACATCGCTGACCCGCAACAGTATCCCCGTCATACATCCACTTCGTGGCAGAAGCACTGGGCAGAGTCGGAGCGGCGCTTGAGACAGTCTTTTGTTAAAGCCGAACCCATGTCTGACCTACGATCTCCAGGCGCTAGACCAGCCCCTGGTAATGTTGGTCACGATTCTGCGTCTGACCGGAATGAGAGAGACCCTGAGCGCGCGGTGAGTACCAATGTCGGCAGCAACAAACACACCAACAAGCCATCATCTGCACCCATTGTAGAGGAAACTATCGTAGTTGGGAGTACTCAACTGCCCGACCCAGAGAGATTAGAAGAAGGACACGACGACGAAGGAGCGGAGTCCCAAGATTTGACAAGAGAACAGTTCTACAAGCGACTTGAGGACTACCGGAATCTCATAAAACAGGACCCAAATGCTAACGTATCCGGTCGTCCTGTTGATCTTTGGCTTTTGTGGAGTACCGTTCGGAATGTCTATGCCCGAGGCGGGATTGAACTCGACTGGGAAGACATAACGGAGGAACTGGGTTTCCCTCGCGACAGTTCTCGACACCTTAAGGAGTGTTACAACGAGCACGCCGAAGGCTTTTTCAGCACCTTGGACGATGGTGATGATGACGATGACGACGGTTCGGGCGATGAAGAAATCGTCGACCAAGGGGGAGCACATGCCGAAGAGAGAAGACGGCCGCGTACAGAGACTGAAGCTGATGCTGGAACGGATGATGAGATCCTCATTGCACTTCCGACCAACACGCCTGGCGCCTCGAGAAAGAGATCCGCCATTCAAATGGACGGCCTTAGTGCTCCATCTACTCCAAACGGACGCAAAAAGCGGCATCGTCTGGGCCCGAATGACGAAGTGCCTCCCACTCCCGAAGAGAAGATTGGACTTGCCGGCATGAGTGGGCTTGATATCAGTCCATCACTAAGCGGAAAGGAACCCGCAAGCACTTCCGCAGGCAGACCCGAATCTAGAGAAACCGAGGTCCAAAGGGGGCCCAGAGCCCGGCATGTGGAGCCCGAGACGCAAGACTTTGGCTTCGATGACGAAGACCATGAACGGGCGGATTCTCAGCATGACAGCTTCGACATATCTCCCTCTCAGCAGCTTTTTGATGACTTGGCGGCGGCAACGCCGCTTCCCTCGTCCCTTCAAAATAATGGCTTTCAGTCCTGTCGACAGCCGGGCGACTCTACCCGCGACAGATCTCAATTTTCAGCTGGAGCTGAAGAAGTCATTCATGCGGGAGGTGAAGATGTCCAGCCCGAATCACAAGGCGTTGAGAAAATAGCCCAGCTTGACGGGTTCATTGAAAGCTTTGAAGGGTTTGGCTATCCTCGCGAGGATGTACTTACCGCGCTCATCTCGACGTCCATATGCATGCCGTTGGCTACTGCTGTTTTGAAGCATATGAAACAGCACAAATCTATACCCAGAGATTGGGAAGGGGTCTGGACGGAGGAAGACGACAGACGACTGAAGCGCGTTGATCGCAAAATTTCAGAGTCAAAAGACGACTCGGAACGCACAAAGCTGAAGAAGTCGTGGGACTTTTTGGTGAGAAAGCATACCCAGAAGCGGATTGAACAAAGGAGAGAGTTTCTTGACTACCTGGGCGAAGCGGAAGGAATGCTATGAGCCAGGTATAGCTCCAGGAGTCGGGTTTCGCGAGAGAGGAACAATGTTTTGATACCCAGGAATATTCAACATTATGAGATCCTATCTCTTGTTCTGTGTCATGAGTCTATCTGTCTGTACCTTGGCCTCGGGTCCATTTAGTCGCCGTCTTCACTCCTTGGTGATTGAGTACCCGTAATGCCAGCCTTCCTTCTGCATGTCCTCTCTCACCTTGTAAGCCCCCTCAGCAACGTCCAGCAAGCCCAGGTCAACTTCGACAATGCTCACTGCCTCCTCTGCGCCCAACTTCCCGATGGATCCGATGAGAGGCATCGCGACCTGGCTGACACCGCAATACCTCAACTGCGACCCATCCCACCTCCTCTCAACCCCGCCCTCCGGCCCGCCAGCATTGACAAGCACCACTGCCGCTGTGTTTTCAAACGCCCTCGCCACAAGCACGTTCTCTAGGAACACCTTCTCCGAATCACGGTTCACCACTTCGCCGGAGCCACCGCGCTTGTACTCGTCCGCCATCCAGAACGCGGGACAGACGATGATCCTCGCACCGTCACGAATCAGCTCCCGGAACGCCTCGGGGAATGCCAGATCCCAACAGACGAGCAGTCCGGCCCGGCCAAGCGGCGTATCAAACGCCCCATGTGGTTGAGGACCCTTGGTCAGATGTGGCCGCTCATTGTGCCATAGGTTCTTTTTCTCATAGCGTCCGAGGATGGCGCCGTCTGGTCCGATGAAGTACGCGGCGTTGATCAAGTCTAGGTCGTCTCCCTCACCTTCCGGCTCCACTATGGTGCCAGGAACAATGGAAATGCTCAGTTCCTTGGCTAGAGCCTGATAACTCCCAAGGTAGGAACCAGACTGCTCGCAGCTCAGCACGAAGTCGGGATGATCCGGCGCCCACGACGTGAGATGGTACTCGGGCAGTACGGCGAGCGCGCAACCCTGCGAGGCGGCGTTGCGTATGTAGGACTCTGCTTTGCGAAAGTTGTCTTCTGGCGAGACAGCCTGTGATGCTTGTTAGAACTTTGTTCATCCATGGCTAGTTCTCACCAGGCACGCGCCACGCGCACGCGAGGGGCGGGGTATGAGAAGACGGCGACCAATGCCGTCGAGGATAAGCTAGCCGCTTCAAGGTGATTCTGGGGATTCCCGACCTTCGGATGCATCTGTATGAGGGCAATCTTGGCCTTGCTCGCCATCGTGACCATGTTCGTCTCGTCTTCAATTAATCCCGCAGATGGTAAGACAACCGGCTGTTGGAGATAACAGCAAACTTTGGTCAAGGTTCGGGGATCAGCTTGTGAGAAGAAAGAGCCGATTGCTACTGGGAAGCCGACTTCTCTTCTTGCACTGCCCCGCTGTCTGCCTTGCGCCGCATTTATTGACGCGGGAGATCAAAATGATAGTGACTGGTTGAAAATGATCAAACTCCATGTGTGTGTGTGTGTGCTATGTAAAGTGCCCGATCAGGCGGTCGTTGCTAAGTTCATATGCGAGAAATGATGTCAGAGGCAACCCCATCCCGTTTTTCCGTGAATTGTGCCACCACCAAAACCCAGCCAGCAATTTGTACCGATTTGTAAGGAGGAAAAAACAAAACAGAAAAAAAAGAGAAAGAAACAAACAACGCCGAAAATCCCATACCCGCCTTTTTAATCGCATCCTTGAAAGTAGTTGTATATCGATATTTCGAAAGGCTCCGATGAACTCCTTGGGTTACCCTTAGCGGCGGGTTTTGCGTAAATCTGAGGAGAATCTTCGAGAAACATCGTAATCAGCGGGAATAACCTGAAGAGTATGGTTTGATTGCCCATGAGAAGATGGCTCAGATGTAGTGGTTTGCCAGGCGTAAGGGGCGAGCTTGACGTATTCGATATGAGAGATCGCAGCGCCAACAACTTCCCCTGTAATAAATATTAGCATGTGTGAAGCAGGCTAGACAAGCATTCTCTAGCTTACCTATGCCGATGAGTACTAGATTTCTACCGGCGGACGGAGGTAGACCATAAGATCCCATGAGAAGAGTGCCTGTGGGACAAATAAGGTATGGTACCCATTTCATCCAGCTTGAAGGGTCCTTCAATGAGCCGCTCACATCAGATGCAGAATTCGCCATCTTGTCTAAGGTTACCAGGATGTCTTCTGACTTTTTCTGGGCATCTGTCAAATGTTCAGAATGGACCTCATATTGTGACGAAAGGTCTTCCGTGAGCTCAAATAGCCTGCCCAGACCCTACAACCGTTAGCTTCAGGGGTAATGCAAGACAGAAACCATTTACTCACCTTTTCAAGATTCTGCTGTCGACCGGCGAGCTCCGTTACGCGAAGGTGTGAAAGCTCCTGCGTCAAAAATTAGCCAAGAATTCTTCACACGGTATAGGGTCACCTACCATCTGGGATTGAAGCGATGCGGAGGATGCAGCAGCTGATGCTAGTGCCGCCACGACAACACCGAGGTCACTTTCAGTGCGATCCTTGAAAGCGGTTATGGCAACTTCATGTGATGCTGCAACTTCAGCGTTACTGCTTAGCACAGTCCTGAGGAGAGCGCCAAGTAGCTGTTGCAAATTTTGGGCATCTTCGAGTCCGTTCCGCATGGCATGTTGCGAAGCCTTATGAAGTTAGCGAAAACGCCCATTGAATGCGGCCGGCTATAGTATCAAACCTGAGCTGTCTCCATAATCTGTTGGGAAAGGGTTCGATCCATGTCTTGAATGCTGTCGCGCAGTCGGTCGACATCAGGGATAATCCGACGCAGTTGATCGGTCACTTCGGTAGCTCTCGTGTTGATGGAATGCAGATGAGCTTCGAGCTCCTGTTCGACTCCCTCAGAGAGCTTGGATAAGACCTCCGTCAAGCGCTGATGGAGGCGTATGCTTTGAGCTATCGCTGTGTCAGAGCCACTCTTCAAGGCAGAGGGGAACCCATGAGACACTCACCTTTGTCGTTGTCAGCACGGGCAGCTTCGCAGAACCTCAGTGCTTTGTGTCGGTAGCTGACCCAAGTGTTCCATGCCGAATCTGACCTTGCTAGACCTGAGAGACATGAGTCAATTTGTTGGGGAGAGACGTGAAGACGAGGGAACTTGGAATCGGGAATCTGAGCCAAGGAATTCTCTCGAAATGGGGCACAGCCCGATGGTATATCGAAACTCCCTCTTTCGAGATCGCATATAGCAAGGCTGGCGGCGTAGGAGTCGACAAAGTCTCTGATTTGTCTGCCGCTGTCGATCAGTACAGTCGCGTCATCTTTCCCGTCGAGAAGCTGGCAGTTGTTGACCAGGAGACGGGCAGCGATTCGGTGGCAGAGAGGCTCGGATTCTAGCTCTTGGAGTTCCTGCATGGCGACGGCATAAATGTTCGGGAGGCGAGACGCCGGCTGAATTCCGATCGTATTACCCGTAGAAACTCTGTCCAGTTTCCGCCCATGGTCCGAATTTCTCTCACCACCATACCAAGAGAGGGCATGGATAGTTGTGGCGCTGCTTAGCATCAGAGCGGCTCCGTAGAGGAGCTGCGAAGTATTGCACCGCATCCTTGCATTGGTATCGCGCTTGGCGCTGTGGCTTCAAGGTAAAACGTCAGTAAAGTGCAAGATTGACGAGAGAGATCGTAGGGAAGATGCGTCCAAGTTGAGGAAATTGTCTTGCGAGGTCTTAGGTCTTGGAGGAACAGAACCAGAGGTAACCGGCTGAGGAAGGGGAGGTTTCGCTGGTTGAAGGTGAAATAGCTTAGTGGGTCGAAAGGCGCGACTTTACTTGAGCTTCGTGAGGCAAGTCCGGTAGAAAAGAACTGGGCAGAGGCTTTCCTATTTTCGTGCAACGAAATACAGCTGGACGACTTCGGATGACTTTCGAGGTGAAAAAATCAAATTAAGCAGGAGGGGGCCCGTAGTTTTGGATCTGGCAAGTGCAATTCGTGGAAGGAGGCGCTGGGGCAAGGTCAAGTAAGGTAAGGCAGTTACGATGGGCAAGTTCATCGTACGCCTTTCCTTCCGCCTAAGAATATTTCAGTCACCGCATCCCCTACTTGGTTGGTAGGCAGGATGTTTGAAGGTTGAAAATGGCCGAGACATAGTCATCAGGTCTGAATCTTCATCTAGCACCAGATACCTTTGTTTGAACCTCTCAAGCCCACGACCAGCTCGCCGCATTGCCGCATTGCCAGTTCGGATTGTGAATACAGCCGAGTTGCCAGCTTGATGTTTTCTTCGTTGTTTCCCACCTCATTCTGTCTAGGCCGTAAGAACAAGAAACCTGATGCCGCCAGAAGTACACATCCCCTTCGGATCAACCAGCATAACCCGGGAGGTGATTTGGCATCGCTGCAAGTATTCAACTCCACAGAACTTGTCTAAGGATTTTCCGCGTGCTGGACTTATAGCTGTTTCTCATGACCCGGACAGAAGTTTACAAAGGCCAAACGACATACTGGTTTGGGTCCAAGGATGACACACATTCTAGACAAGTCGGTTCTTGATCTGCCAGTATGACGGCGTAGGTAGCATTATCTACCAATACTTGGAAGGTCGAGAAAGCAATTTTTAGCTGTTCATTCCGTCAGAATCATCAGTCAACTTTCTATCAAAAGCAATATCAACAAGAGAGAGTTTCCTGATGTGCTCTTGGCTAAGAAGACGACCACCATGTAACCCAAACTACTGGGGGCGAAACGACAGAAGCAAGCCTCGAGGCCTTCCGCCAACGAGTTCACAGAACATACCCTTACATCGCTGCCAACTGTTTTGACGACCCTGCATGAAGTTCGCTGTCCCCTCCACTCGGATGGAGCCCCAAGAGAGGCTATTCGCTGCATGGGACATGTCGTGTGCCGTACGCAGTATGCATGTCTGCAAGGTGTGTGACAGACGCTGGCGACCAGCCACATCAGCCCATTCGCGCAGCAGCTCGCGCAGTGGGGTCCTCAGACACTCCTCGCGGGCTGCCGTTTACCAGCGAGTCCGTCTACCCCTCTCCTCTCTTCTCGCCTGACGGATCTCTGACGGAGAACCATCCACCTTTGCGCATCCCGCGCCTAGGGTTGCATTCTCCTGAGGCTTTCCAGCGCCGCACGTCGAGGGCAGCATGAGAAATAAATGTCGTGACTTGAAGGCTGAGTGTCCTGGGAAGATCCAATATCATAGCGAGCTTTTGTGATACACTCCGTTGCGTTAACAGCGTCCACCCCTAAGTTTGACCTAGAAGGAAAATTTTCCGCTAGCCTAAAAACCCCCTAAACCCCCCTAAACTTTACACTTAGATAACTCTATACGTATATAATATATAAAAATAAAAAGTATATTAATTAATAGTCCTCGATTAGGTGATTATAATAATATCTTTTTTATCTATACGTATTATATATATATAGAGTTATCTAAATATAAAGTTTAAGGGGTTTTAGGGGGTTTTTAAGCTAGTAGATACTAAATATAATGCTAAAAAGAAAAAATAAAACCCCTTATACGTAGTGTTTATAGTATCCTCTCTAAAAACCCTTTAAAATTAGCTTTAACTTTATACTTAGATAACTCTATACGGACGTAATACGTAAGAATAAAAAGATATTATTATAATCACCTAATTAAGGGCTATTAATTAATATATATTTCATTTATACATATTACGTATATATAGAGGTACTAGTGTATGAAGTTTAGGGCGTTTTGGTGGTTTTTTGGTAAAAAGCCCCTTTTTTTGCCTTTTTCGGGCTAAAAACTGCGGGGTGGACGCTGTTAACGCAACGGAGTGTAGGGCAGACGAGGATTTACCCCGGAGGAGTTAACAGGGGTCCAGGATCGTTGATTGTCACCAGCTTCCCCACCGCTTCATAGTAGTCCTCTCGACATCAGTCTTACGCCGGACCTGGATTTTCTTCCATTGGTGTTCCTCCCCCACCTTATTGGCTTCGTATATTCGGGGATCTCGATGTCCGCGAGGAAAGAGGCCACGCTGTACCATGTCGGTACCCTTACCCACCGCCTTTTCAAACCATTATGAACCGGGAAACCAACGCCGAGCGCCGTCGCCAGCCTGCATGGGGCCGAAAGACCCAGCTTTCGCCGAGTGACGTCGGTTGTGGCTCCCTGAGCAGCGGAAATCACAGGACCTGAAAAAGCACCGCGTCCACTCCTTCCCCTCCTAGAAATCCCCATTGAAGCTGTCAAGTCCATACTGCAGCTCTTGTGATATGTGACATTCCAACGGTGCTCTGCCTTTCCTTGGTAGTTTCGCATCTTGGTACCGGGATATTCGTTGTTTCCAGTACCGCGGAACGCGGCTTGTCGCCCGACAGGGCCCAGATTCCAGCGTACTAGTTGCAGGTCGCGAAATCTCACGTTCCTTCAACATGGTACAAAAGCCACGCGATGGAGCCTCGTGCTTCTTCTGCTTGATTCTTCTTTCTTCCAAGCCTCTCACAGTGTCTTGATCTTGAACACACGCCATAAACCACTCGCATCTTCGTTCAGCTATCGGCGTCGCAGCTTTCCTGTCCCTCCTACCACGTCAGAGACTCCAACGAAGTTCTCTGTCGCGGTTTCGATGTCTTGAAGTTTGACCCATAGTGTTTGTCGTCTACGCTTCCTGCTGTTATTAGACAGCCTGTGACTTTGAGTCCGAAGCAAGGAGACAGACGCTTCAAAGGTCCATCATCAACTCGGCTATACAGTCGCAGTTCCTTCAAAGAGCTTGGTGCCACTGAGCTGACTTGACATAACTCCTTTACAATCTGTATGGCGAGATCCCCATGTTCGACATTACTTGGCGGGAAAAACCAGTGATCAGACACGTATGCTGACGTGAAATGATGATAGCAGTGTGGATGTCATAGGCAAAAGAGACAAACCAAATACGCTTCCAAGAATACCGCCGCCATAATGTGTGTGCAGATCGACAAGGCATATGACTGTGGCCACCATGGCTTCCACAACATCAAGTGGTGCCAAAATGTTGGCAAGGGCTGCAAGGGGCCGAAGCCAAAGCACGATGTCATCGCTTGGCCTGGTTTATGCACTGATTGCGCCAATCGGGCGGCCGACCCTAACCCCCGTTGCTGAGTCCAGCAATGATGCTGTGGATTGGATGAAGCTGAACGAGTGGTCTGGGTCGTGAGGCATACCTAGGCTGAACCATAACATTATCGTCTGGCCGAAAATCAGCATGTAGCTAGGGTATTGAACATCAGAAATAAGAGGGATAGCACAACGTAACAATAGGGTTAATGTAGGCAGCACGCACTCCGTCCGCTTAGCTGAAGTATCTGCCGATATAGCCGACTAAGTCATTACATGCGAAGGACAGGCACCTTCACATTCATGTTCTTCCGCCACCAAAGCTGCTCGCGACGGAGACTTGACGTCGTCTTCTCCTTGCTCCAGCAGGAGCATACAGATGAGATGTCCTGGCATAAATTGCGTTGCGTACACATGCCATTGAGTGACTTTGGAAGGTCCATGTTCTGAAGCTCGTAGTGTCTACATCTCGGCTTAATGACGCTGGTACAGAACTGTCTCTGATCAGATGCTGCGTCGCCGACAGCCATTTGAAGTCCGACAGCACATTCGTCTAGCTCACACGCGGGTTCTGGGGGTGACGTAGTCGCCGTGACAGCTTCAATCTTCGTGGGAAACCCTGCAGTCCTCACTGGCAGCTTGCCCGTGGGCGCGGCACGCGCAAGGTTATGAGCACTAGAGACAAACCGCCGCGGCCGTTTGGTAGGATAGGAGGGAATCATCCTTCTCTTATCGCCAACGTTGTTGGCGTTCTGAGATGCGGAAGGCAGCGATGCCGTGGAGCTGAGCTCTCCGCCCTTGACGCAGTACCACTCGCCAGCCCTGACGTTAACATTGGCGCACGTGTGTTGACTGCCATGGCCTGCCTGCATTCATCCAAATGAAATCCAGAAGGGTGATGGAATGCGCATCAGCGATGCTTTGGCAACTATCGCCCGGTTTCGCTTGATAAAAACGGAGGCAGTCGGGGTAGACAGGACCAGCTACAGGGCTTGAGGATTGAATGAAGTTCATCAGGCCCAGACCGAAAGCCGAAGACCAAATAATGGCCATAGCAGTCATGGAAAGATTCATGATGGCGATGTTGCAAACGGTACTGGCGTTGGCTTGCGGCGATGTATCGCGATGCTCTCAAATAAGGGAAGGGGCGATTTTCCGGATATAAGTGCTCAGCGTCAACAAAGGACATAGGCAGCAAGATACTCGCACAACACTTGTTCTCATGACGAAGAGATTTCTTTCATCACTTCGCATCTCGACTCGAAATGTCGCAATCCTGATCATGTTTCCTCTCGTCTGTTCTCCATTACTCGGCTAGTCTGTGACCAAAA